TCTTTTTTCTCCCAGTTTACATACAGGGAAATATATGTCAGGTGGATAAGCAGACGACATATCTAAACTGTTAAGGGGAGTTTCAAGTGTTGCATATAAATTTTGATGTTTTTTATTATTTTTAAATATTTTATTTTATATAATTCTTACATCATTTTTCATCTTTGCACAATGTATGCATTTTCATCTTGGTTATATTTCCCATACAATTGTACCCCCCTTATTTTGACTCTATTCCTTTCTCTCTCCACCTCTCCTTCCCCTACCCCGTAGCGTGTCTCTGGTTTATAGTTGCTTGTTCATTTTGATTTTTACTTTGTATTGATTAGTCTTTTTCCTGGTCTCTAATTTAGGTTTTCTAAATTCCTGCTATGAGTGAGACCATCCAGTATTTTTCTTTTTCTTTCTGACTTATTTCGCTGAGCATGATCCCTTCTAGCTCCATCCATGTTGCTGCAAATTGCATGTGTTTATCTTTTTTGAATGCTGAGTAATATTCCATGGTGCATATGTACCACATCTTCTTGATCCAGTCATTTACTTTTGGGCATTTGGGTTGTTTCCAAAGCTTAGCTATTGTAAACAGTGCTGGTATACACATAGGGGTGCAGGTGCTCTTTGGAATTGATGTTTCTGTGTCCTTTGGGTAAATACCTAGGAGTGGAATTGCTGGGTCATATGGAAGCTCTATGTTTAGTAGGTCCAGAAATCTCCACACAGCTCTCCATAGTTGTTGGACCAGCTTGCACTCTCACCAGCAGTGCAGGAGAGTTCCTTTTTCTCCACAACCTTGCCAACATTTGTTGTTGCTAGTTTTTTTTAATATGTGTCATTCTCACTGGTGTGAGATGGTATCTCATTGTAGTTTTGATTTGCATTTCCCTGATGACAAGTGATGTTGAACATTTTTTCATATGCCTGTTGGCCATTTGCATTTCCTCTTCGGAGAAGTTTCTTTTTAGCTCTTACAGACACATCACCCAAAGCAGTGATAGTGAAGGCAAAGATAAACAGCTGGGACTACATCAAATTAAAGAGCTTCTGCACAGCAAAAGCGACAATAACCAAAACAAAGAGAAATCTCACCAACTGGGAGAACATTTTTGCACTCAACACTAATGATAAAGGACTGATGACAAAAATCTACAAAGAGCTGATGAAACTCAATAAAAACAAAGAAAATAATCCAGTAAATTTTAAATTTTTGCAGAGTTTATCAGATTAAAGGTGGTTTAAGAATCTTTGACATGTCTCCAAGTGCAAGACAGGACTGTTTTCTCATCCCTTTGAATTTGCCTGACCTGTAATTACTTGCATCACTTAGGTATGGAGGATATAACACCAGTACTCAGTTTAATCTCTCCAGCCTTTTCAGCTCTCTTGAAGTTTCAAAATTGCATGTACAACAAATTGCATGTACTACAGAATTGTTAAACAATATTTCCATACTAACATACATATACTCCTCAATGTGATGAGTATTTGTAGCTGTTCCATCAAGAAACCAATTCTATTTATCCATCCCTGAATCTGGTTTAGTTCTGTGTTTTTCTTTGATCAAAAGGACACTATCAAGCATGTTTCAAACAGAGACTTACTATGAATTTATTGATTGAAACTGTATCTTTTTTGGTGCATTTGAAACCAGTGACTACCATGTAAAACAAGTTTGGCCTTTAAGCAAACTTGTTGGAGTATAACTGATCACATGAAAAGGAATAGAGATGCTTGGCCAATAATCTGGCAATATACAGCATGTGAGTAAAGTTAACCTAAATTATCTTGTCAAATTCAACAAGTAACACAGCCAGATGAGAGAAACCAAATTAAGATGTGCAAAACCAGACCAGACTGAAAGAACCACTCAGAAGATCTAGTGATCAGCAAAAGAAGTAGAATGTTTTCTGAAGCTTATTATTATTATTATTATTATTATTATTATTATTTCAGCAAGTTTATTGATGCCATCATCACAACCTATATCCTATTACAAAAAGTGATACCAGGAAATGAGTACTGTCATAAAAATTACCTACATTTATAACAGTCAATTAGAGGATAGCAGTGTAAGAGATAGAACAAGCAAGAAAGTCAATAATGTACTGATTTTTTTTCTTTTTCATTTTTTATTTTAACATTTATAATTTTTTATATATTTTTAGACAATATTTGCTTCCCCCACCCCCTCAGATTGAGTCCCCATAGAATTTCCTTCCCCAAGGTACCCATGCACCATCACCACAACCCCCTTTGCTCCTCCCTCCCTCCCTCTAGCCCCTCTCCCTCCTCCTCCCCTAAAGTATGTCTCTGGTTTATAATTGTCTGTTTTTGCTTTGTTGTGTTTTGTACTGTTATTGTTACTATTTTTTTTTTGACTGATGTCTTATTTGGTTCCCCTATATTCCTGTTATAAGTGAAACCATGCAATATTTTTCTTTTTCTTTCTGGTTAATTTCACTGAGCATAATTCCTTCTAGCTCCATCAATGTTCCTGCAAATGACATGAGTTTATCTTTTTTGATTGCTGAATAATATTCCATTGTGTATATGTACCACATCTTCTTGATCCAATTATCTATTTTTGGGCATTTGGGTTGTTTCCAGGTTTTACCTATTGTAAATAGTGCTGCAATAAACATAGGTGTACAGGTGCTCTTTTGAATCACTGTTTTTGTGTCATTTGGATAGATCCCTAGGTCCACTGAAATATCTTGATGTTTAATTACATGCCAACACAACCTATAATTTCTACATAATTGGTTACAAAATTGATTGCTTTTAGAATATGTGTTTCAATAATTATTTAAAACATGTTCCAGTAAAATCTAGAAGCTACTCAATAAACTCTTTGCTAGGAAGTGGGTTTCCAATGTTCCCATTTTCTATTCTGATCCAAAGAAAAGTCTATATTCATTATTGTGTTGGTAAAGAAATAAAATTATTTACAGTATTAAAATGTAGAAGAATTAACCTCCTTTGGAGGTCAAAAGGTATGTCTCAGAACTTTTAAGGATATTCTTGTTTGATATGTAGCATTGCAGAAATCAGTCTCTTAGATGGCCCCCAATAATGCATTCCTCTTCCTAATCATGACCTTGTGTGATTCCTTCTCACATTAAATAGGGTAGACTTGTATGATCAATAGGATATTATGAAGGTGGTAGTATATAATTTCTGAATCTAGATCATAAAAGTCTGTGACAACTGCTTTTGTTTCTTGGAATCATTCATTTTGGGAGAAACCAACTGCCATGCCATAAGAACACTCAAGCAATACTATGAAAAATTTTAGAAGGAATAAGGAAGAGGGCTGTTTCTTGCCTACGAGCAACTGGCCATATGAGCAAACAGCTGTTTGTGCTTTTAATTAAATTAACTAATACAAATTATTAATACATTTTCAATTTTACTTAATGACTGAATTTTTTTAATGAAGCACTGATTTTAGACACAGTACTTACATTTCCCAATTACTTTGTGACCTTTAGGCAAGTTGCTTATTTTATATGCATATTTCTATAATATAAAATAATTGAATAACTATAATTACATAATTGAGGTCTATGAAATTTAAATAACATACATGATGTAATTAGAAAGATACACAGAAGAATTAACAGCTAACTTATTAAAATTCAACTTATAGAGAGATTAATGCTTTAGGTTTGAACACAACAACATATTGTATTTGACCAAATTTCAATACTTCAGGCTTTGTTTTTCAAAATAAAATACAGAATATAAGTGATAGTATTGCTTCTCATTGAATATTTCTATAAGTTGCTTTCACTTCTATTTTTTTTTGTTTCAAAGAATCATAATACATTTTTGTACTCATACTACAAATAAACTAACTTTATAAAGATAGACAATGGTAATCAGTGATTTTTAATAAATGGAATCATAATAAGACACATTATGAAAGATAAATATCACTTCAGGTCTGAATAAGAGTGAATATTTCTATTAATATTATATATGCATTTATCCAATATTAGATGTACATCTTTTATCTGAGCTTTACACGCCATGGGAGACATATCAAATTGTAATTCTTATCCTTTTGATGTTTACCACAGCAAATAACTTATTTCTTATGGTGTTATTCATTTTATTCTCATAAATGAAACATTTTTTATCTACTGTATATTTTGTTATTGAGAACAAATCCTAGAACTAGCATCAGTATTTTATTTCTTTGCTTTGCACATTTTATTGTTCCTTTAAACTACTGTGTCTTGGGAATACTTATGCATTGCAGGCTATGAATATTAGAAGTCCTTGATTTGTATAACTGGTGACTGCTCTCCACCTTTCCAAATAACTAATCATTCCCTAAGTAATGCTTCCTTTACAAACAGAGCTATTTATCATAGATATGATGAAAAAGATATGCTAGTAAAGAAAAATAAGGATGAAATTTACTAGCATAACTGTTTTGAATTTCTGAAACTTTTAACTTCAATAAATCAATTTATTTATTAAATGATCTAAAGGGAAACATTAAAAATGACTACTTAAAGAGGTTACTGATACAACGATTTAATAGAGATGCAAACTTCTGAATTGTGTTAAACTTTATTGGTCAACATAAATTATCAGCATTTTTAATTTTGGGAATTAACTATTAATGAGAATTTTATTTATTATAACAATATAATGCACTAAGAAGAACATCTGAATATGTAATATGGGGAAATATAAAGGACCATCATATTATCAGAGGTATTAGTGAGCTGGTTATCAAGAGGATGAAGAAAACCTTTCTCTAAACTATAATACAAATATGAACACTAGAATATAGTTGTTAGGATGGAACATACAAGGAAAAACAACCATTTATATAACATTTTAAATTTGTTAGTGTCTAAGCAAGTCAACATGCAAAGAATGGTATTACATTTGTATAACCTTTGTTTGAAATCATCTTATGCTGACTGTGCACCACACATAACACAGAGATGTCAAGTGGATGATAGTTTTTGTATTTTAACACTCAGAGAGAAAATGAGAACAAAGAAGACAGTGAGCATAGAGGAGAAGAGGATTTACAGACTGGCCATTAGGAATCTCTATTCTATCACTTAGTATATGGGTGTAAGGAAAATGTGTTAAAATCAGACTATCTTCGCCTTCCACACAACAAAGAACAGGTACTTTGAAATACTATGTTTTCCACCATTCAGACATCTAGCAAACAACAAATGAGCCTTGCATTATTGCATTTGCAACAATGTGTCAGTTGTGTGGGATAGGAACTTCAGTTTAAAGGGGAGTAGGCAATGGAGTTGCTTGTTCTTCCTCTCTCAATGTTGGAGTCTCTCTCTGCCTGCCTGTGTATATGACCCCCAGTTTCAGATTAAAATCTTGCAAAATTCATTGAAGGCTCCAAATTCTCTTTTTTTTCTGCGAGAACTGACACTGAATCTACCTGGCCTGGGATGGTTGCACAACAATGGGTGATAACTATATCTTAGCATATTTAAACTCAGTGAATCTTTAAAATAAAAAATAAAAATTACTTTACAAAATTTTTGAGGTATGATTAAATTAAAATGATACATCTAATGTTCTGACATTGAACAATTTTTCCCTAGAGATTTATTTATTTATGCATACAAAAGCTGGGGTACAGGCCAGAGATGCCGGGGGTGAGAGGATTCACCAGAGACAGGGTGGGGAACAGAACAGGCAGACTGACTGAAATACATTGCTAAGGGGACCAGCGGGCGAGACAGGAGAGGTCTGCCTCGCCATGTGGGTTTCTCCCTGGCTGGCTGGGGATTGAACTCCTGCTACAGAGGCTGTGGATTGCTTCACAGTGTGGTGCTTAACCCCTTGTGCCACCAGGGAGGCCCATGAACAATTTTCAATATAGGCAATTTGAGGAAATTGAACTATTGTTGTAGGAGACTAAAATTAAACATAAGTTAATTTTCCACTGTATATCTTTCTGAATTGGCCATGTTTTGTGTTAAAATCCATGAAATAATAAGCAAAATATACATTATGTATTTGCTAAATTATTTTTAAAAAGACTACAAATACTCCCCTACACTATTAAGGCGTGCAAAAAACCTGGAGAATCTTTAATTTCATCTAAGCGAAAGAAGTCAATCTGGTTGGCATTATATGGGGACTATAATTAAGATGAAAATGCATACATTGTGCAAAAAATGAAAAATGATGTAAAAATATATAAAATTAAAAAATAAATAAATAAAAATAAAAGATACAATGTAAAAGAAAAAAAAGTCAATCTGAAAAGCTGTATAATTTCACCTTTTTACTGTGTGATCCCAACTTTAAGACATTCTAAAAAAAGCAAAACTATTTATGCAAGAGGGTGGTCCCTAGGGAACAGGGAGGTTCCAGTTCTCTGTCCCAGCCAATGGAGGGTGGAGATGAGGAGGGAAAAGAAGCTGGAGAGGAGACTAGGAAAAGGAAGGAAGAAGGAAGGAGAATCAGGAGACCTGGAGGAGGCTCATGGGGCAGTGAGACATGAAAAAGCTGAGTTTGCTTCTTGATCTTGGACTGGTTGAAACATGTGGATGAGAGACCCGTGGGGAGGTTCACAGTGGCAATTTTTTAATCTTGATTTTGATTTTGCTCCTTCTGTTCCAGATGTATTGTGCCCCCTCTGTCCCTTTCCTGTGGGTCCCCAACAGGAAGTGCATTAGTCTTGTGGCAGGCTTTCTTGCCTTAGAGGCCCTGCTTTGGACCAGCCCTGTTTGGCTGAGCTTTACTCATGAGGAGACAGGTCACTTTGGGTGCTTGATTTAAAACTTCATCCTTTTTCTGGTCTTTCTTGCACACTAATCGTATTAAAGATCCTTTCTGTAAAGTTCCTTGTGCACTAGAGTATGTTTTTTCTTGATGTGATGAATGGCAGAACCTATTTGGAGAAGAAAGGTTTGGGGATTCTGGGGTTCCCCTATCTCTGGCCTATAATATTTAGACAGTAAAGTTATCAAAGAATGTGAGGATGGGGTAGAGGTCAAGAGTTGAATAGGCAGAACCCAGAAGATTTCTAGGATAGGGAAAATATTTAGTATGATATTATAATGATGAATCTACGTCTTAAACATCTACCTTTAGAATAAATGTACCCACAGAAAGTATAACACTGTTGAATAGAACTGTACAACTAGTTAGCCCCTAGTTCTACAAAATTTTCTGAATATCCATAGAGTAAATAGATGCAAATAAGCACCAGTTAGATTTTTCAGTGAGAAATTAAATTTTTTGAGGAATTGCATTAATAAGCAAATAAAAGCTTCCTTTACTCCCCAGTTAGTAATATCGACTTCCTTGAATGTCCCACAACATTATATCATTTTAGTGCTAATTGATCTAGTCCATTAATAATTAAAATTGTTTTGTAACTTTTTCTTCCATTTTTCCAGGTTTTCTTTTACATTATAAAAAATATATATATACCATTAAAAAAATAATAGGGAAGGGCCTGTATGATTAATAGAGAAATTTCACACATAAGTATAAATAATAGTTTTCTTTAATCATTTTTTTTAAAAATTCATTTTCTAAATCTACATTTATTTTTTGCTTTCTATTTTTCAGAGATTCAGAGAGAATTTATGATAGAAACTAACACATAAGCATGCTATGCTGATATTAAAGATAAGTAAACTATTTTATAAAATGAGAAAGATCATGAAGATGAAAATATATGTATGAGTTTTAAAAAATCAAGAATGTCACCAATCTGAAAAAAAATCTTTGTATCCCTGTAGGGTAAGTGATTATCAGTCTTTTCTGCCCTCCCACCATTAGGATTGATTATGGATCCCTGCAGTCCTGAATGCATGCCTGATGGCGGGCACCTGGAGTGGGGTGTGGGCATATGTAGGTGGGTACATCTGGGCAGGAACGGGGCTTTTAAGGGTGGCATCATGGGAACAGAACCAGCAGAAGAAAACGAGAGGGAAAGAGAAGCAGGAGAGAGAGAACAAGACCATGAGAGAATGTTGGAGAACACAGAAAGAGTGAAGATTCACTGGGGGCTGGGAAGCCTGCCATCCTCCTGGTCCCCCAGCACCCCTGCCTGCTGTGTAACTGGTAAAATTCCAATAAAAGCCTGAAAAGCCACCAAGGGCTCTAGGACTCATTCTTTACCTGTCTGCTTGGGTCATAGAGATCCTGCACTGTGGCCTTCCTACTGCTATAATCCTCTAAAGGATTTAGTAATAATCCTATACTAGATAGTACTCTTTTAAAATATTCTTTATTTTTTAAACTGCATTTTTTAAAGATTTATTTATTTATACAAGAACTGGTGTATAGATCAGAGGCGCCGGAGGGTGGGAGAATTCACCAGAGAGAGCAGGGAGCAGAACAGGCAGATGGACTGAAGACACTTCTGAGGGGAGCAGCGGGCGAGGCCGAGAGGTCTGCCACACCATGTGTGTTTCTCCCTGGCTGGGCAGGAATCGAACCTGTGCTGCAGAGGTTGGGGACAGCTCCACAGCACTGCGCTGAACCTGCTGCACCACCAGGGAGGACTTTTAAACTGCATTTAAAATTTATTCAATGAAATATAAATAATGAACTTTTTTAACTTTTGATTTAAAACCTTTTCTATAATAAATTATTTTTAACTGAGGTAATACTGGGGTACCCCTATCAGGTATTACCACCATCATGCACCCACCACCCACTCACTGATCTTCCATACCCATAGACCATTGTGCTTCCTCCCCCTTTGTTCTTTCCCTCCCTCTATCCCTCCACCCTTGGGGCTTCAGTTTTATAGTCAGCTCTCAAGGGTTAGTTTTTTAGCTGATTTTTAGGTAACTATTAATTTAATTACTTTATTTTTTTAATTTAATTACTTTATATTCCACGTATCAGTGACACCATTTGTTATTGATCTTTCTCCTTCTCACTTATGTTATTTAGCATCATCCTCTTATTATCTCTAATAATAAGAGATTGTGAACTTTACTCATGTCCCTGCTGGTCATTTTAATGTCTGTCTTCTTTGGACAGGTGTCTATTTAGTTCTTTTTTTTTAAGATTTATTTATTTATACAAGAAGCGGGGTACAGGCCAGATGCGTGGGAGGGTGAGAGAATTCACCAGAGACAGAGCGGGGAACAGAACAGGCAGACTGATAGAATACACTGCTGAGGGGAGCAGCGGGCAAGACAGGAGAGGTCTGCCGGGCATATGGAACCCTCACCAGCTGACTGGGATCAAACCGGTGCTTCAGAGGCTGCAGACAGCTTCACACCGTGGTGCTCAACCACCTGCGCCACCAGGGGAAGCCCTCTATTTAGTTCTTTTGACCATTGTTCCGTAGAGTTTTATGAATTATTTTTATATTTGGTATCAGTCCTTTGTCAGACATAAAATATGCAATATATTCTTCCATTCAGTAGGTGTCTTTTTATTTTAATTATGGTTACTTTGTTATACAGAAACTTTTTAGCTCTATGTAGTCTCAGCTCTTTATGTTCTCTTTTGTTTTCTTTATTTCTGGGATAGTTCCCTAATGGTATCACTAAAGCTTATGTCGTGAAATGTTTTGGCTATGTGTTTTCTTCTATGTATTCTGTGGTTTCAGCTTTTACAGCCAAGTCTTTGAGTTGATTTTGATGTATGGTGTGAGATCTTGACCTAGTTTCTTTTTATTGCATGTAGCTGCCCAGTTTTCCCAACAGCATTTATTGAAGAAGTTGTTCTTATACATGTGTATTTTTTTGCTTATTTGCGATAGATTATCTGTCCATATATATATATATATATATATATATATACAAACACATATATATATATACACACACACATACACATAGATTATACATAGATTATATATATAGATTATCTGTCTATATATATATGGGTTTATTTCCTGGCTATCCATTCTATTCCATTGTTGTGTATGTCTGTTTTTGTTCCACTACCAGTCTGTTTCAATTACTGTGGCTTGATAAAATAACTTGAATTCTGAAAGTGTGACACCTGCATTCTCCTTATACTTTGCCAATATTTATTTTGCCTTTCAGCATCTTTTGTGATTCCATATAAATTTCCGTAGTATTGGCTCCTGTTTTTTGAAATATGCCATTGATATTTTTATCAAATTATGTTGAATCTTTATATCACTTTGGGCAAAATGGCCATTTTGACAATGTTGATTCTTCCAATCCTTGATTAGGGAATAGTTTTCCAATTCATTGTATCTTCTTATATTTTTTTCCAAAAATGCCATATAGTTTTCTTTATATAAATGTTTACCCCCTTTTTAAATTTACTCATATGTATTTATTTTTTCTTTGTTGTAATTATAAATAGGATCACAGTCTTAATTTATTCTTTTTTACCTCATAGTTTGTATTTAGGAGGACAACTCATACATGTGTGTTGATTTTATACATTGCCACTTTGCTGAAGTGATTGGTTGTTTTAATTAGTTTTCCATGGACTCTTGAGGGTTCTTTGTGTATATCATGTCATCTGGAAATAATAAGTTGACTTCTTCTTTACTTTTATTTAACCTGGAAATCTCTTTTTGTTTGATGTAAGTATGGCTGACCCTGCCTTCTTTAGATTCCCAGTTGCTTGTAGGATATTTTTTTCCTTTTAAAATATTCTTAAAGACATGGCATTTTAAAAAGCCATTAAGTTTGACTGCTTTAGTCTAGCACAAATTTTATGGCACAAGTACTTACAGCAAACCAATTTATTTAAAAGTTAGCATTTATGTTAGGTCCCTTTATAATTATAAAATATTCCCAATACCTTTGGATTTTTTCAAATGCCTTTATGTATAAATCTCCCATTGTAACTGAGCTTGAATCAAATCTGTTTCAGATCAATATATTTTTCTATTTCATCTTCTGTTCCCTTATTAAAATGAAAAAAGACTTATGGTTGCAGCAGATGGCAAATCACTTTAAGATCAAAATAATAATCAAATAACATATTTAAAAAAAGATACTAGTTAAATGAAAACCTGTCCACACTATGACTTGTATAAAATATTCATGACAGCTTTTTTCAGAATAGCAAAAATTGATTAGAATATTTATCTATGAAAAAGCAATAAAATTTGCCGAACTATTGGAGAAGTAGCCCTGGGTAGCTGAGTCCTGTTACCCCAGCCCTCAGAGTACCCCAATGTGCCTCCTATGGCTCCCCATCCCTATCTCTGGCCACCATGTTGTGGGAGGACTGTATGCATCAACATGGTGACCAACCTGGCCAGCACAGTCTCCCTGGCTGCTCCAAGCCACTTTCTTGCCAGGATGCAAGGACGTATGCACTGCCATGGCCCAATCCATTCCTGATATCCTGAAAAGAGGACTTCTGGGAAAGTGGTTGAGCAGAGTGTTCACGACAGTTTAAAAGCTGAAACACACTGAGGCCAACTCTATTGTGGTGAAGCGGCATGTTTGTGGCTCCAAGTCCTATAACTTTTGTTTCCGCCCAACACTCTGTTTGTTTTTATTCCTGTGCTCTGGTCTCTTCAGTAGACCTTGGGATCATCCCTCATGTGTACAGATCTAGCTACATATTTGTCCTCAGGCCACAGCAGCTAAACAAGCTACACTTGGCCGGATGCCTGCCTTTGCCCTTTGGACTCAGCAGGCTGATCCACTTCAAGCATGTATTTATTTACTTATTTATTTATTTACTTATTTACTTATTTATTTATACATACAAGCACTGGGTACAGCCAGAAGTATGGGAGGGTGAGAGAATTCACCAGAGCTAGAACGGGGAGCAGAGCAGGCAGACTGATGAAGTACACTGCTGAGGGGAGCAGCAGGCGGCAGGAGAGGTCTGCGCTGGCCATGTGGGACGCTCTCCCGTGGCCGGGGATCAAACTGGCGCTGCAGAGGCTGCGGGCAGCTTCGCAGCCCAGCACTCAACCACTGTGCCACCAGGGGAGTCCCAAGCATATCTGTTTTCTCCCTCCATGTGTGTGCCTCCTCTTGTCTCTCCTCAGAGGGTTAGTCTCTGTCTTCTGTATGCCGCTTTGCTTGCACTCTGGGCTTTCACTCAGTGACTAGACACCATCTCCTACTTGCAGCTTTGACTCTGAAACACTGGTAATATCTGGGGTAGGACAACTACATCCAATAATATGCCAGCCTATGAATGTCTTCTCTCTGTCTCCCTTTTCTCACGTCCTATAAAAAAAAAAAAACAAAAAACAAAAAAAAACAAAACAGATTTGTGTTGTTTATCCTCTTGCGTCTACTTTTGACTCATGTCCTACAGTTTTAAGTGTGGAAGGACCCACCGAATAATTCAACACTTTCCCCTGGATTTGTTCAATTTTACAACTACTAAACAATCACAAGAAACAAATTTCTGATATACACAACACACCTAAATCCTGGAGGTCATTACGCTGTATGAAAGACTCTAGTCACAAGGTCTTCATGATTGTATATGTTTAAGGTCTATAAAAGGCAGAAAATTAGTGATGAAAGATCTGTGCCTGGAGAGCTAGAGTAGGACAAGACAACTAACTACAAAGGAACACAGAAATTAGATGGGATAAAAGTGCTTGAAAATATATAGAAGAGAAATATCAACTCCAACAATGAATGTTGCTGCATTTAATCCATTTTCCCTACAGTGAAGCTTATAATAAACATACAAAAGGTGAAGAATAAACAATGCATCTGAAAAATTTTAGGTCATGGATAAATCAAAGCAAAATAGAGAAAGATGACATGTATCTCTAGTTACCTCTCAGTAAAAACTTGTAACACTCCAGACTAAATTCTAGC